CTTATTCTTTATCTCTTAGTTGTCTCTCTCTCTCTCTCTCTCTCTCTCTCTCTCTCTCTACATTATCAGAGAGACTGAGTAATGTGGTCTTTCTAGAGTCATATTTGTAGCCTTATTCATTTAAATTTCCTTAAATCATAAGAAATATTTGGCATGTTTCAACACTGAATGAATATTTACATCGATTTCTTATGTTCTACAGAAACAAGAAATGGCTACCTTTCAAATCCGTATATTCAGTCTTCTATGGGTCTGTTGCTTAATATCAATGAGCCAAGCTCATAATACTCCAGTGTATAAAGATCCAAAGGCTCCATTAAACAATAGAATCCATGATCTCATGAGCCAGATGACTTTGGCTGAGAAGATCGGTCAGATGACTCAGATCGAGCGCCTAGTTGCAAATTACAGTGTGATGAAAGAGTATGCGATAGGTAAAGAAAAACTGTTCTTTTTTAATTTATGATTATTTATTTTCTTATTTAATAAATAATAACCTTTCGAGAGCACAGGTGGTTCACTTATTTCTGTACTTTTTTGTAATTAATTCGTGAAAGTTAAATGATATTTCTTACAGTTTGGTGTTTTGTTATCAGTCTATCCACTTTATGATAATTTCATACTATCCACTTTCTGATAATTTCATAGTTCTTCCCATTGATACGAATCTGAGTCCGAGAGTTCCAAAACCAGATAATTTGGATAGAGAGGCTTCAGGCAAAGTTTCCCATTAGAAAATCTCAACTGATCCAAACTAGGCGCACTCATTACAGTTTGGTGTGCATTATGATTTGCTGGTTTCACGCTAAAATTTATTATTTGAAGGCCCCGGTCTTACCCACTCTCCCAAAAAAAGACCCAGTATTTCACTTTTGAGTCCTTGCATCCTAATTTAAGTACTCGTTCCACTTTTAAAAGACCGAAAAGCATCACAATCAATATTAACGATGAATGTCGCTTTTGTGAGAGTTTTTAGACCATATCTGCAAATGTAAATTTGATATGTAAATTTGAATTTGCATATAAATTGCATGATGAAGAAGTGTTCTCTATAGGAGCATTAAAAAAAATGTTTTCTTATAAATATAATGTAAAAGTGTTTGAAAAATTCAAAAAATATGGGAAATTTTCTTGTGGTCTTTCTTTTTTTTTTTAATAATTTTCACACCTTCATATTATCCTTTTATTTTAGATATTGTGGAGAATTTAGGTGTGGTACCAATAGGCGATGGAGAAAGTAAACTTAGGTGGGTTGAAAGGCTAAAAAATGACAAGGTTAGGCCCAAAAGGACATGGGTGGAAATAATGAAAAAAAGATATGAGGACTTAGGCCTTACTGAGGGTATGACTTTTAATAGAGCTGAATGGCGGATCATGATTTGTGTAGCTGACCCCGATTAGTTGGGAAAAGGATTTGAGGTTGATGTTGATATTATCCCATTATTTTATTTATTCATTATTGTTGCTGTGAACCAAAAAATTTGAATCCCCCCATAAATTGGTTCCATAATAAATTCCTCAATATGAGATGTTAACTGAACGATTAACTGAAGGAAAGGTTTGTCACCATGAATTTAACCTTATTTTTTAAAAAAATTTCATGTGTTTCGTGTCTAAAATTGTGGGTTTCGCTCCTCTTTGTTCTCTCAGGCAGTATCTTGAGTGGAGGTGGGAGCGTTCCTTCTCCTCAGGCTAGTGCCGCTGTTTGGGTAAGCATGGTGAATGAGTTCCAGAGAGGCGCTTTGGCCTCACGCCTTCAAATCCCCATGATCTATGGCATTGATGCAGTTCATGGCCATAACAATGTCTATGGATCCACAATCTTCCCTCACAATGTGGGGCTTGGAGTAACCAGGCATGTATATCTGTAAATTTTACCAATGATTTCTAAAACTAATAGAAAAAACTCTTAAGAGTTCCTCTGCTTTGTATTTTTTACAGTCAAGTAGTTATTTGGGCTTTTTCACATGCTTAAGTCATTTGAAGCCCAAATGATATCTTAACTTACAGTTTTCTGATCTTACCTTAATTTGCATTGTTATTTATCGTAGAAACATAAAAAGAACCTTTGATTCCTTTATTGCTTCTTGATTCTTATTGTGAGAAATTGTTATTTATATAGGGACCCTGATTTGTTAAAGAGGATCGGAGCTGCAACTGCTTTGGAAGTCAGAGCAACTGGCATTCCTTATACTTTTGCACCTTGCATTGCGGTAGGGATAAGCTTGATCATTATATGGTGATTTGGATAACCAATATTGAGTTTTGCTTTCTTTTCTTTCTTTTCCTAGTTATTCCTTTTTTTTTGTTTTTTTGAACGGTCATAACCCTTTGGTTTGTATTAATCAGGTTTGTAGAGATCCTCGTTGGGGTCGATGCTATGAGAGTTACAGTGAGGATCCAGAAATTGTCAAGGCAATGACTGAGATCATTCCAGGATTACAAGGAGATGCACCCAAAAAGGGTGTGCCTTTTGTTGCCGGAAAGTAAGTCTCCTAGGACATTGAACGTAGAGAGAGAGGAGAGAGAGCGAGAGAGAGAGAGAGAGTAATTAGGATCCACAAATTCGATGTCCTGTGTATGCGATGTACTTTTCAGAAAAATAAAAGGCATGACAGCTAGTGGTGTTGTTTTCAACTAAATCCATGTTGCACCCAGGACAAAGGTTGCAGCCTGTGCCAAGCATTTTGTGGGTGATGGAGGAACACACAATGGCATCAATGAGAACAACACCATTATTGATCGCCACGGTTTGCTTTCAATTCACATGGGTGGTTACTATCACGCTATTATCAAGGGTGTTTCAACTATCATGGTTTCATATTCAAGTTGGAATGGAGAGAAAATGCACGCCAACCCTGACTTGGTCACCAATTTCCTCAAGAAGACCCTTCATTTCAGGGTAAGAAAACCATCCATTCCTCTGAATCATTACACTCTTATTTCACATACCTCGCAACTTTTGAGTTCTTGATCAATAACTATATCTTTTCTTAGTGTTTGAAAACACAGAACTGGGTAGAGGGCTGTTCCGAGTCAGCTGGCTGAGTGCCGAGTCTAATCAGTCGAGACTCGTGCTAGAATCACTGGCTTCTTTAAAGGCCCCTGAACAGGCTCAGTTGGGACTCAGTGAATCTTTGCTAGACTCGGTCAAGACTCGTGCTATCTGAGTCTGGGTCATCCCGAACACAGAGTACCTGTTCTGAGTAACTCGGGGGCGAGTTTTTAAATGCTATCTTTTAGTTAGTATTCAAGGGTTTATTTTAAGAACCCCTTCCGAGCACCAGCCAATATTTGTAGACACCACTCAATCCATCCCTCCCCCCCACCCCCCAAAAAAAAAATGAACTCCTTTTTCAGTTATTAGTATTAGACTTTTCCTGGTATCTTTAAATGTTTTGATGCTGAACTACCTCACATTATCCTGTAGTGTAATCAAATCTTGTTTCATGTTTAGAGCACCCTTTCTTAAAATCCTTTCAATTATTAATTAAGTACTTGGTTGTTACGAGCGCCTACTTGTAGTAGCTATTGCCTACAGCAAGTGCTGCTGCTGCTGAACTAAATCTGTAGTTTCTAGTAGTCATTAGTACTTGATGCACTATAAGTTTTATGTAATAGGCCTTTAACTACAAACAATTGTTTCATTCGGGCTGGACTGCATTTCTTCAATATGCGGCCTAGAGGTATAAAGCATCCATCTTAAAGATGGATGCAAATAGGCGGTCCATCTAAAAACAATTGTAACTAACGGTCCAATTGTTTTCTTAATATAATTATTATTTCTAGTTTTCAATTTTTTTTTTCATATTCATGATCTCCATATTAAATATTATATATTCTCTAAAAATTAGGATCAAATTATATTTAAAAAATATATTTATTGCCAAGCCTGCATTTCTACAATATGTGGGCTCGCTGCATGCTAACCGTGTCCTTTAACTAATGCATTGTGACTTGACTGCTTTTTCAGGGTTTTGTAATCTCCGACTGGCAGGGTATTGACCGGATCACAAGTCCAGCCGGCTCCAACTATCCTTACTCTGTCTATGCCGGAGTTAATGCTGGCATTGACATGGTTAGTATTGCCTCTGAAATATCTTCTTCTTTTATCACACTATTAATCCTACTCAGAACTGAACTGTAATATAGTGAGGATTACTTCTCACCTCAATTTAGTACAATTATTAGGAAGTATGAGAAATACCATGGTCATGTAGTGTTTCCTTGTTCTCTGCTGTTCCTTTTGTAGATTATGGTTCCTAACAATTTCACGGAGTTCATCAATGATTTGACTGAACAAGTTAACAATAAGTCCATTCCCATGAGCCGGATCGATGATGCGGTGAGAAGGATTTTGAGGGTCAAGTTCCAAATGGGCCTTTTTGAGAATCCCTTGGCTGATCTCAGCTTGGCAGACCAACTTGGCAGCCAGGTTAGTTTATCCATTAATTCCCAAAATATCCACTGTTCATAATCTATGCACAATTTCATTTTATTTGCATATTATGTAAGTCTTCTTTTCCTCATAGAATCATAAAAGGATGAGAGAGAGAGAGAGAGAGAGAGAGAGAGAGAGAGAGAGAGAGATC